TTGCTGTCAATGGAGGCCTCTCTGAGCCATTGGATTTGATCAAAAATATCTTAATTTGTGTTCTGAAGATGAACGAAGGTCTTAGGGGTGTCGAACGACATGAGGGTGAGTAATCAATGACAGAATTTTCATTTTTGGGTGAACTAACCCTTTAAAGGGTTAACCCTTATCATTATCGGCTGATAATCACATTTTATGACTCGATCGGTACTCACTACACTTGGGCAATCTCACGAACCGATTACAATTTGATGACGTCAACGCGTGACGACGTACATGATGCATGGGGACATAAATTATTTTAGTGCTGCAGTCATGTCATCATGTTATGACGTTTCGAGAAGCAATGAAAAATTCGCTATTTGTCGTGTATTTTTTGCATGATGATATGATGAATGGATGGTTCATTTTTAACAGCAGATTCTGTGACGTTAGAGCTGATCTGCGCATCACTGCACGCGTCTGCGGCGCATTACGGCTCCACGGCCACCGAATGATCGGAGCCGCCAATGCTTGTGTTTATACCAGCCAGCCGCTGCATGTTTCAAAAGCGGCTCTCCGTGCTGCTTGGCTAAAAATAGTATTTGTGAGTTGGCACGGCGTGGAGGATGGAACAAAACCTCGTCGGAACCATAAGGGGTAACGGTAACATAATAGCTACGCTGATCGTGGGCTGCTTTTAAATTAATGTACTAAATTTGTACATTCATACTTGTACTCAATTTATAAAACAAAATATGTTCTTTGGCCATATTAGCCTACTCAATAGCATTAACACGGGCTTTACTCCTTTCAAACTTTATCTGGAACACACACACACACAAATGAAATCGTCTTCCTGATGAAAAAATGTATTTAAAAAAATGTAGTTAATGTTTGCATCATTTATGATTTATTTTATCCACCCGCAAATAATCAGAATGCATTTTTTTTATTACCCGACCCGCAGATTATCCGCAGAGCCTGTGGATATAACCGTGATCGAACTACTCTGTTTTGTTCTTTCAGTAGTTTAAATTGGAACACACACACACACAAATGAAATCGTCTTCCTGATGAAAAAATGTATTTAAAAAAATGTAGTTAATGTTTGCATCATTTATGATTTATTTTATCCACCCGCAAATAATCAGAATGCATTTTTTTTATTACCCGACCCGCAGATTATCCGCAGAGCCCGTGGATATAACCGTGATCGAACTACTCTGTTTTGTTCTTTCAATAGTTTAAATGTTTCTATTTCTTTTTTCCTCTTCAGTCTAGGCTTGGCGCGATAGATGGTGCTGACGGTGATACCGTTGTTAAGCCGCAACACCGGTTACGTCACTTGCCCACCACGGCACCGACCCCCACCGTCGTTTTGATTTTTTATTGTAATAAAAATCACTTAGTTCAGTAAAAGAACAGACACTACAATTAAAAACTGAACGCTCAATGCAGCATGCCGAATGACAGTCGCATCACAGATTGGATTTCATTTATCCAGTGAGGAGTGCTGACTTGTCATTTATGTAAGGTGATTTTGGAAGTTTTTTTAAACATTCGTTTCTTGTTTAATTGGTTTCACAGTGTTTGCTGATTTTTACTTTATTTAAACTTTGTGTAATTTATCTTATTTGACATCAAGGTGTAAGCCGTGCCTCCAAGCTTTCTTATTCGTTTTGCTAATAAACGTTCAATGTTTCTTATTTATTTGGTTATATACAGGTGCATCTCAATAAATTAGAATGCATTGAATTTATTTAATACACGAGTTTCACAATTTGAGTTGAATTACTGAAATAAATGAACTTTTCCATGACATTCTAATTTATTGAGATGCACCTGTATTATACATGTTTACTCATTTCCAGTTTTGTATACCTATTTAAACTTTATGTAAGTTATTTGTTATTTTATATTAGGCATAGCCTGACCTATAGCATGGTGTATTTCTATTGGTTTTGTTAATAAAAGTTCTATGTTTTATATATAGGCTAAAGTGAGTTTGACGTTGTATTTTGTTGTTGCATTCAAGCAATTGACGCTGAATTGCCGCTAATTCGAAAGTGAAACTAAAATGCGCACGGCGCTTTTAAGCTATTTAAAAGCGAAGGAAAGCGAGGAAAAGAGGGAAAATTCAAACGAACTAAAAACAATCAATTGCTTTACGCCGAATTGCCACTATTTGAAAGTGAAAGTAAATGCACGCCGCTTTTACAGGCTATTTAAAAGCGAAGGAAAGCGAGGAAAAGGGGGAACACCCCTGCCCCCACGGTGATACTGGTATTATCGGTGTTGTCACACGTCCATTAACCGGTGGGAAAATTTTCTCACCGTCACAACCTTACTTCAGTCTTATATTGGACAGTAGGGCTGTGAATCTTTGGGTAGACAGCGAATCGATTCGATTCACGATTCATAGGTTTTCGATTCGATTCAAGAATGATTTTTGCACATTCAGAACGATTCAGTTCGATTCGATTCGATTCTGCATTCTTTAAGTGCATTCACAGGATTATTTAAATGCTTCCCCTAAATTCTTTAAATGCTTAGTCAGGGGGCAAATTACACAGCAGCCTTTATGGTTACAGAACCATAGGTTAGAGAAAAAAAAAACACTTTTGTCCATTGTTAGATGCTAGTTTAATGATGCTATGGCATGGCATATGTAGAAATTTATGTAAGCCAAGATTTAAAAAAAGAGCTTTAAAAGTATTATGTATAGGCTAACATTTTGTCACACCAGGGGCATAGCCATCATTTCAGAAGTGACAGAAATGTCAAATACAATAATTTTATGTATGTATGTATAATTGTTTTTTTTTTTTTTTACAAGGAATTATTTTCTTATCTCTTACTTTGAATTTGCTATAAGAAATCAAATACACTTCTGGACAATAATCAATCATTTGTAATCTATATTTTTTTTCCTAATGGCAATTTTATGATTGTTTTATATACTACAAACAATTATTTCAATTTTCTGCACATAATAAGGTAGAGGTAAAAGTTATAAGTATAAAAGTATAAGGTAAAAATATACTTTATAGTTTCTGTACTGTAATAAATGATATGCCATTTAGCACTGCATCATTCATAAATTGTATTTATTTATTGTGTTTATTGTGTTAACGTTTCAGTTCATTCTGCTTTTTATTCAGCTTAGCTGCAGATATAGCCTGGTACGTCTTAAGTTCTATGAGCGTGAGATCACTTCTCTTTCAGTGAATGATCAAATGATGATTCTGAAAGAAAACGCGCCCGATGTCTGTTTGCTATAGCAACGAACTCTACTTTCATGCATCTGATTATCAGATAAACCTTGCGCGCTTATTCCAAAGTCGTTGTTAAAGCTGTGGTTATTTTAACAGTTTCCTTCGTACATTCAGTTTAACAACATTGTTAAAACACGTCTCATTCAATGGAACTGTGCGTATGCTTTAGACACTTACATTTTTGATCCATCCATGCAATAAATGCGCAGCCTTCGACTGCTCAGGTAATGTCGTCGGTATGACCGAGAGCCATTGAAAAACTACAGAAAAGTAAAACTACTTAACTTTAGCATTACTGGCCACTAATACTAAGGAGAGATCACACATCAGCTGCTCAAAAAACGTGTCAGTGAGACGAACGGAGCGCGAGCGCAATCCTGTGACGGTCCCTGCAGGTGGGAAATAGTGGAGCGCGTGAAGTAGAGATGCGAGGGCACGGACACTGTTCAAGGTCTCCATTAATTCATGCTTGTAGTAATTTAATGTGTATATGTTTTTAAAGCATTGAATCGCTATAGAAATCGCAATTCATTCGATTCTTAGCGTTTTAAATCGATTACTGTATGAAATTGGCGATTCACGATTCAAAAATCCATGTTTCAAGATCGATGCATTGCATCGTCAGGGTTTGTAATCGATGCATCGAGAAAACGAGTGAATCGTTACACCCCTATTGGACAGTATTAAACCTTATGAGTTACATAAGACTTCTCCATGTTGGAGTTTAAATGTTTCTATTTATTTTGTCCAATGTACAATTAAACCTAATGAGTTGCATAAAACTACTCCAATTAGTTTTTTTAGGAGATTAAATGTTTTTTTTTTTATTATTAATTTTGTCCTGCTCAGACTTGTATTGGACAATGTTTAAGTTACATCAGACTTCTCAATTTTATGAGATTAAATGTTTAATTTGTCCTCCACATTTTACTATTGGATAATGTTTAAATAAACCTTGTGGGTTGCATCAGACTGCTGCAATTTGTTTGTATTTATTTTTGTCTTATATTAAGTATCCTGATATACATAATGTTATGCATAAACCCCATTTTAAAGGCATATTAAAATGTTCACTGTATAAGGAATAATTTTTGTGATTATTTATATAACATTATTACATATGTTATATAAAACTTGTCTTGAAGCATCAGAATCGGCATCGGTATCGGCCAATCACCATGACAAGACATCGGTACTCGGTATCGGCTGTAAAAATCCAGATCGCAGCATCCCTAATATTTAAAACATAATAATCAATTTAATCTAGCTTGCGCTCACTGTTGTACATGGAAGCAGCTACGGGCGGATGACGTAGGACGTCGGCGTTGCGCATGCGCCACTCAGAAGTGACGAACGTGGAAGTGCAGGGGAGAGATCAAAACAAAACAATGGTCACGAAATAGAAGTACATAATGAGGATTTGTAAAGAAGAATGTCGGAGGATTTCGATATAAGCCAAGAGGAGACTGGTTTTCCTTTGCTAAAGTAGGGAAACTTTGCTTCCTTTGCTCCTGTAAACAAACGTTGGTTTTCACGAGACTCACTGGCGCAATGCCGACATCTTACGTTAAGTTATTATTAATATCAATATTTTATATTTATGTCTTCTCAATGTACCTATACGAATGTGCGCTATACGAATCAGCTCACGTGTGTTCCGAGCTTCCGTCAAACGATTCCGAACAGAACCGATGCGCGGCACTCGATGAGAGAGAGAAAGTGGCCAGAAGAAGCAGTGAAATGTAGCTACATCACTGACCTGTTCAGGCCTTCAAGTGCAGGTCAGTTTCATCTGTAAATACACTTGATAGTTTTGTCTTTATTAACGTAGTTGAGTATTAAACTGCTAGTATCTGTTAGGCTATCAGTAGCATACCATTATTATCATCATTCAGAATACTGTGCTAAAGGAAATCAATATTGATTGTAAAGTTACATTAAAAAATTTAGCAAAGACAGATATTCACATGGTTTTATTGTACAGGGAGGGAGGGAGCTAGAGCAGACAGCAACACAAAAATAATATGAGTAACAGGCTCACAGCCTAATAATTCAATAGTGTATTAGACTTTTTCAACAAATATATTGTACAAATTTTGACATTTAGGCACCTTAGAAAATGTGTTTTAATACACTACTAGTCAAAAGGTTTTGATCAGTAAGATTTTTAATGTTTTTTAAAGAAGTCTCTTCTGCTCACTAAGCCTTCATTTATTTGATCCAAAATACAGCCAAAACAGTAACATTGTGAAATATTTTTATTAAAATGTAATTTATTCCTGTGATTTCAAAGCTGAAATTTCAGCATCATTACTCCAGTCTTCAGTGTGTCAGATATCATTCTAATATTCTGATTTGCTGCTCAAAAAACATGTATTAGTATTATTATGTTGAAAACAGATTAGATTTTTTTTCAGGTTTCTTGACGTGTGGGGAGGTAAGTGAAGGTGCAGTGCAAGAGGGAACCTTTAATTATTTTCCACGTCCCCAGACTAAGGATTTAGACCTTTTTTATGTGATGGCCATACAAATAATAGGGTTGTCTGGTTTCAGAAATTGTTGTGGATGTATAGGCTATATACAGGAAATAAGGGGCCAAAATTGCAGATCCTCAGCACCACTGACAAACATCTAATCTTGTAAAATGTGTGGTAAGTACTGCCGCTCCATAGTATAAACAGTGTACGTGCGATCGCGAATCTCGAAAGTGAAACTAAAAAGCGATCGTGCATTCAAAAGCAGTTTCAAAGCCAGGCATAATAGCGGCTCCCTGATGCCCGCAATTTATATACAGTATATATATATATATACTATAATAATATATAATACCCAATGATATAACTGCGAGAGAAATTATTAAAATATGTATTTTCCTCCTGTCTCGTATTTATTCCCTTTAGGGGTTCCTTATACACGGCATTTTCTTTCCGAACACAGTATTGGGATGTGGCGTATTGTGGGGGGAATCACGATGTCGGTTCAACATCATGATGTCTATCAGCCATCGGCGATGGACGATGGCATCGTCTATCTGTCCAACCCTATCTGCCACTAAAACATCTTTTTATTCTGACTGACACATCAAATGCCCTTACTTCCTCACATCTGATAAATTCATAGTGCCAAACATTCTTTTTCTTATTGAAAATCCCTTTTCACTTAGAAATCAGATTATGCAAAGAAAATGGGATCAACTTTAAGAGTATACTAGATGTAATTTAGGCATGTACCTATTCTGAAGAGAGAGGAACTGATTGCCTTTCAGACAGAGAAGACTCTTACTCTGTTTAGTAATGAAAACCATGTCTGTGGTATGGATTACTGTAACTGTGCTTGTGTTTATCCTCCTGAAGTGCCTAATATTAATCAGCCTCTTGGGCTTGTATGTTCTACCCTAAGATCATCTTACTCAAAACCTTGACATTAGTATCTGACACAAACAAACCAAAACTGCATCAGTGCAGACCAGTTCTAGTATTTAACTATACATTATATTGTATTCTTTGGTGATCTTCTCTTTATAGTGGTCCATAACAAACCTGCCTCATACATACTTTCCTATGGGATTCGCTTGGGTGCAAGTTCACCCAAGACACGTCTGCTCAGTGAATGGGGGCTGGTGGTGTAAATTATAAATGTCCCTCTTAGGTGTAGTAACTGTGCAGGAACAGGCAGTCACTATGCAAATTGATAGCTGTGTGACAGCGAAAGCAGTGAAAGTGGCCAAGCCTGCCTCAGTATAAGCTCTGCTCTCTCTTACATAATTCCATGCACACCTTCAGGCTCAGGTCTTATTGAGTCCTGTATATCAGCTGCTGGAGAGCTGTTATTTTAATGATACTCAGATTTGTAGTCTTTCTTTAGTTTCTTTTAGAAACATATAAACAAATATTCTATTCTGTCTACTTGTTTTCTTTTTATTTATTATAAAAAAAAAAATAATAATAAAAACTTGACCCTCTAACACTAGCACTCTCTGTTCTATTTCTATTCTATTATTCTTTTTATAAAAAAAAATAAAAAAAACGAACAAAAAAAAAACTTGCTATGTGTACTGCATTAAACTATCCAGCACTTATTACAGCACTTACATATTGTTGCTCTTTTGTTGGTTTGATTGCTTCTTTTGTGCTCATTTGTAAGTCGCTTTGGATATAAGTGTCTGCTAAATTATAAATGGTTAAATGCAAATGCAAATGTAAATGTAGAAACATAGACCAGGGCTGCTCAAGTATAGAAACCAAAAAGTATGATTTAAAAAGTTAATTGCAAGAACTAAAATTTAAAAATCAATTAAAAATAATTAGGCTAAAGCTTTTTTTTTTTTTTTTTTTTTAAATGAACACAAGTAAGAGATATTTAATCATTTTCATTTGCACCATATAACTATACATAATAAACAGGAACATTTTACTACACATATGCCACATGGAGACTTCTGTGATCAGTGATGACGTTGATATTGAGTTGATTGTGATGCATTGATAAATTATGAGTGTTGAATCAATTGTGAGACTGTAAGACTGATTTCTAGTGCTATATTAAAGTTAACTATTTAAGCAATATTAATATTAGCATTGTTCTATAATGGGGAGGTAGATTCTGATGATTGATTGATTTATTTGAGCAGTTTGTTGGTAATGAAACCATGGAGATATATTGGTCATTGTGTTTCTCACAGAATGAAGAGGAAGTTCTACTCTTGGGAGGAGTGCATGAATCTGAGAGAGGTCAAGGTACGATCAGAGGACACATATGAAGCCTTCATTAATCACTTAAAAACTAAAAATTGTCATCAGACATTAGGATTTACACTGTGCCCTAACCACAATGCGACAAGCACTTTGTCTGTCCACACCAGCTGTGACAAGGCTATAAGACACGACAAAATCAGAGACAAATTGCAACTACAAGAGCCTGTGGGCAGGCTCTGCAAGCACTATCTGACAATAAAATATATTTAAATAATCTAATTATTAAAGATTTTAAAGGAGACATATTATGCCCCTTTTTAAAATATGTAATATAAGTCTCTGGTGTCCCCAGCATGTGTCTGTGAAGTTTCAGCTCAAAATACTCCACAGATCATTTATTATATCATTTTGAAAATGCCTATTTTTAGTGGAAGCAGAAATACGCTGTTTTTCGGGCCTGTCTCTTTAAATGCAAATGAGCTGCTGCTCCCTGTCCCCTTTTCCAGAATAGAGCTGCGCCATTACAGCTCGGACCTGCTAAAAACATCTGTTTTGGTTCTGATTATCATGTTTATCACGCTGAAATCATGCGTTTTAAACCATATTAGTTTAAACTAATGATATACGGTTTTCTGAGCGCACACAACCGAAGCACACGGATAGACAGCGGCCACCAGACAGCATGTGAGTACTAAACTTAGTTCTCATTCACACACAAGTTTACATTAAAAACACACGAGTTACAAAAACAGTCGGTTATGTCTGTGAAGGTAAACAGCTGG